CTCCTCCTCTTCCTCCTCCTCCTCCTCCTCCTCCTCCTCTTCCCCGGTACACTCAGTTGATCAAAGCTCCAGTCGGGGGTGATATTTCTCTCTGTATTACCGGAGTCACCCCCCTCGGCAGCCTGCCCGGCCACGGCTGTAAGGTCGCACATCCCGGCTTCCTCAGCCATGGCCACCCCGGTATCTCTGAGCATCTCTCCCATATTTTAAACACCTTTTTTTTTTTCTTTTCTCCCCCTCCGTCTAATCACCTGCTCGATTCAGTATTTAGCCTTTATTCCAAAGTCCTCTCCTTCCTCTAGCCGTGCCCCTCACACATTGTTGTGGTGACATTGTGTCTCTAAACTGAGCCTGGAGGAGAGAGGGGAGACAAATAAACGTGTCATGATTAGAATTAATGATTGCATGCATCTTCACAGCCTCATTCATTATCTCAGATTAATTATCTCGCAGTGTACCAGTTCACTTGTCTGCACTTCATAAACCCCAAATCTCCTGGGCTGCTTTACAACACTATGGCCTTGATAGCAGAATATCCTTAACAGTGGTAGTGTGGCCTGTAGAGTCCAGATTACACTTTTGAGGAAGGAAATGTTAAAACAGTATTCTTTTAAAAAAGGGAACCAATAAAAAGATACATTTCGGATTAGTTTAGGACTTCAGATGTTTATTTCCATAGGAGGCCTGCTGTCATCACACCCAGTCACTCTGAGATTAAAACAAGACAACAAAAAAATGGAAGAAATTAAGTTTTGTTTTCTTCAACTTCAACACAGAAGCTGCTCCACAAATTCCAATTTACAACTTCTGCCGGCGTCAGAATGAAAATATGGGTGAGAATAAAAAAAATAAAAAAAAATCTATTGCTAGTAAAGGATTACAGTGGTAAGGTTAAAACCATTTTTGCATTTAATAGTGTCTTTGCCTGGAGGGGAGTTGAGATATTTTTAAGCCTATAGCCTATATTTTGATTTCCCTCTATTCGTGGATTAATCTGCCTCCGTGTGCTGGCTTTTTCTCTCTCTCTGGCTTATTCTAAATCAGGCAGAGATTATCCCCAGTGACAGACTATCAAGGCATCTTCTACACATGGAAATAACAACTTTTGTTGTTTACATGCTGCGTTTACAAGTTTATGAGGTGGAGGAGAGTGGAAGGGCCTGCAGACGGCGGGATTTCTGAGGTTAGGCTGGAATTCTTCTGCAGTTTTCAGAGCCGGAAAATAGAAATAAAGTGACTTTTGTAGTCTAAGGGGAACGCGGTATTCCGATTGCGCGTCTGTGGGAGGACGGAGCGTTGTTGGGGAGCTCAGTGACCCTCTCTCCCTCTCTCTCTCTCTCTCTCTCTCTATCTATCTATCTATCTATCTATCTATCTATCTATCTATCTGGTGGAACATGAAAGATGGAAAGATGGGGACAGGCAGAAAAATTAAAAAGGTTAAAAAAAATTTGGGAGGAAAAAGAAAAGAGCAGAAGGAGAGGAGAGGAACCGGTAAAACCAAAACAAGAAAAGAAGGAAGAGATGGTGTGTGTGTGTGTGTGTGTGTGTGTGTGTGTGTGTGTGTGTGTNCCGAGGAGCCGCTGCCCGGTGTGTTTGCTCAGTCCGGCTGAGGGGGACGTGATAAGTGGATTTGAATAGTAAACTAGTTGAAAAGATCAAGTCCGCAGACAATGCAATCACAGACGTGCAGTCAACAAGCAGTGCACACCACTCAATACACATTGTTTAACGGTGGAGTCAATGCAGGGCTCTAATTTATTATTCTAAAACCAACCTGCTGTGTTAGAGGAGCGGGTGTGTTTGCTGAGGCTCAGATTTAAAAATGTATTTATGTTGGAAGATTGCAGATGTAAAAAAAAAAAAAAAGAAAGGAGGGAAGCAATCAAAACAAAAATAAAGAAAAGCAATAATTTAAAAAAAAAATAGTCGCAGGGTTGTGCAAAGGTTTATGGAGATAGAAAGTCATATGTTCCTATTTTATAAAAAGAAATTTAAAAAGAACAATCACACTTATAAAAGTAGCAGCACAAAACTAAATTCAGTCATTCCTTTTATTCCTGCTTCTACTGTTATTATAATTATTATCAGACATGAAGATTTGTTTTATAGTAAATAACACAAAGTAAAAAAAAAAAGTCTATAACTGCGTTATTACGCGAGTTTCCCCATTAAGCTGTTTTCTTTAATTTAATAAATATCTCAGATAACTATCTGTACCTGTTCCTCTATATTTTTTTCAATTTAAATGTAATGTTTAATAATGCTTTGTGCTTCTGTTATATCTCTCAACTTGTTCATTTTTAGTTACTATCAATAGAAAGAATATAACACAAACTTAGATTATATTTTTAGGATTTGGATTTTGGACCACCGAGTCCAGCGTTTTAAAACGTGAATCTGTACCAGTTGTACTTGTTCGTCTGCATCGTTTCAGCATCAGCCTGTGATTAAAATGTCTAATACATGTGAGATCAGAAGTGTAACCGCAGCTCATTTCTCTCTTCCAGGCGGTTCGGCACCAAGTGTGGCGGGTGTTCGCAGGGCATCTCTCCTAACGACCTGGTCCGGAGGGCCCGGAGCAAAGTGTTTCACCTCAACTGCTTCACCTGCATGATGTGCAATAAGCAGCTCTCCACCGGGGAGGAGCTCTACATCATAGACGAAAACAAATTCGTTTGCAAAGACGATTACCTAAACAACACCAGTGTAAAAGACACCAACCTCCTCTCAGGTACGGAGGCAGCCCTGCGACCGTGTGTGTGTGTGTGTGTGTGTGTGTTTTGAAGCCTTATCTCGCCTTTCTTCAAGTCAGGAACACATGTCCTGTTGAAGGGGCGCTCCCCAGACGCCGGGAGGGAGGCAGCTGGACGGGGACGGGCGGGCGTTTTGCATGAGAAGCAGCCCATATGCAGGAGGGTGCTGGCGGGTTATTGCTACAAAATAAACGGATGTCCTGGGTCGATGTCTTTTTTTTTTTTTAAGTGCGTATAGTTACTGAGCTCGGTTCCATTTTAAAACGAGTAAATACAAAAACTTTTCTTTTTTATATATAAATATTACAACAAAGACAAACAACAACATTTTCTTAATGCAATTACTTTTAATAAACTATTGTTTACATGCACAAGAGAATAATCTGCGCAAATTCAAAGATCAACACCCCCCCTCAGACTAGTTTGCAAATCTTAGTTAGCCGAGATACTGGAATTAAATGTTCAACAAGCAACTTTTCCCCCTCAGTGAACGATGCAGCCGATTTTTAAATGAAGAAAACAAATATGAGAGGTGTTAAAAAAAAAAAAACTTCAGGCATGTAAATCATTTTCAACACAAAAGCCGTTGCTGCTCCCTTTGATGGGGGATGACTAATAATCCGGCAGACTAGGCTCTTGGCGTTATTTGCTTAAGGTGGATGAAGTGGATTGGACATCCCTAATGAATCGTCCGAGGTGTCTGGGCCGCGAGCTGCTGACGCGCTGAGCTGCGAGCTGTCAACTTTAGAGCCTCTCCGTCTTTCACTTCTACGCCTCCTCTCCATCACACCAAAGAGAAAAAACTGATGGATTGCGCCACTGCTATACGGACAGGACAGCATCACACCTCCAGAACCGAATCATCACCTAAAAATAAGATCTCGGCAGCTTCCAAACATTTAAAGTTCATAGCAGGTTTTTAGCGTACAGCTGCTTTATTACTGATTAAAACAAACAAAAAAGCTTCCAGTTATCATCAAAAGTCTCATGCTCGACTTGTGCGCTTTTTTTTTTTCTGGCGCAAAGCAACTTTACACGAATAAACAGGGAGTGCGCCATGCAATACGCGCCTCCAGACTCTTTATCCTGAAGACGCCACTGTATCTACCTGCTCAGATTCCTCCTTCATGTCCCCCTCATGCCCAGATGACAATTTGCTCAGCAGCTGAAAAGTGGCGCCTCTCCCTCCGCGCTGCTCGCCCTCCGCTGCGGCTGCTTCCTCCAAACACATTCACTAACATATGACAGTTTGCAGGGAAATTCTTGACAATTGGTGTCTTGAGTGTGTGGCATAAATAGCAGGCAGAGCCCTCGCTGGGTTATGATGGGGTGGCTTGATGGTTGCTGGCATGGTGCGCCGCTGATTGGTCCGGCCGCGGCCTGACGTCAGGAGGCTGGGAATAAGGCTGGGCTGGAGCTTTAGGAGCAAGACAGTGTACTGGAGACCCAGCGCATCCCAGCATACGCACGGTACTGGAGACTGAGGGGCATCCCAGCATACACACTGACTACTACCGCCAGCGCGTCCCAGCATCCTCCTCCCCCCCCGCCGCCAACGAGCCAAACATCCAGGATCATCCGATAGAAGCGAGAGGGGAGAACACTTTTTCAAATCTTTTGGGTGTGTGATTTTGTTTCTCGCCGGCTCTTTGCACAGTGGATACGCTGCCATGTTAAAGTACACTGAATTATTTATAGGCGTGCGTGTCTTGTTGTGTGACAGCTCTGCCCTAAAAGCATTTTATTAGACGCCTCTTCCAGCGCTGACTGGCACACGACGCTCTTCTTCTCCGCCGATGCGTCACTTCCAAGAGCGCCGGGACAACCAAACTGGCTGCGCTCTTCTCGCCTGAGCCGATCGGCAGCTTTCTCAGCTGAAATCTGCACCTCGGTTGAATTTTTGCTTCGGATCCATTAAAGGACTGATTTTATTTTTCACACCTTTTGGCCTTTCCCACAGAGAGGACGCGGTCGCCATCCTTTCCTGGTTCTTTATTTCTTTTCCTACCCCCCTCCTTTTCTTTTCTCTTTTTTTTTTTTGGAGGGGACGCTGATGCTTTTTACGCATGCAGGGAGAAATCTGTGGTGACACCTGATCGACTGGCTTCTCCGCGCACATTGACCCGGGAGCTCCAGGCAACATCAGGGAGGGAGAAAGCAGATACTCGGTCAATGCTCGGCCTGTGCTGTTGATTTTGTTTGTGCGTGTGCTTCATTTGTGGGGGTTGTAGCCCAGCCAAAGCCATGGTCCACTGCGCCGGCTGCGAGAGGCCTATCCTGGACCGCTTTCTGCTCAACGTGCTGGACAGAGCCTGGCACGTCAAGTGCGTGCAGTGCTGCGAGTGCAAATGTAATTTGACAGAGAAATGTTTTTCTCGAGAGGGGAGACTGTACTGCAAAAATGATTTCTTTAGGTAAGCACTGGGAAGGTGGCAGAAAAACTCATCAGCAGTTGTTTTGTTTTTTTTTAATGTGACTGGTTTTTACGTGAGAAGCCGGATGGTTGAAGCAGCAGGTAAACAGGAACATAAGAAACTAAAGAAAGAAATTTAGAAAACAGGTGGGAAAAGGAACAACAAATTTTGATGGGGAACAACTCCATAAAATAGCTTCAAACACTAAATCTAACTTTAACATGAGTTGTGTTTATTATCAGTCACCAGAATAAAGGTGATTATTTAAAAACTAAAAACTTTGTTCAACAGTTCAGATTTAAATTTAAGAAAAAGAAAAAACTAAATTATCAGAAGGCAAAAATAATTCCAAAGAACATCTGTTGACTGCAGACTTATTTACAATCTATCTGTGTTGTTTATTTTTTCTCTAAATAACTGAATAAACCGACGTGTCCGTGCCTGCAGGCGTGAATGAGGACTTGGAGGCGATAAGCTTTGATTAGCAGTGAGTAATTAAAAGCTTGTTAATTTGGATTCTTATGCAAAACAACAACAAAAAAAAGGAGCAGCAACATTAAACGCGTGTGAGCTCTCTCTCAGCGGGGTGGAGGGCGGCGGTGGAGGGGTGGTGGTGGGGGGTGGTTTGTTAGGAAATCGAGGAAATCACACTTGGGCTGTATTTTTTTTTTTTTTTTGCAGTTAGTCCGGGCAGCGCACAGGATCAAACTCCGAGGAGCCGCTGCCCGGTGTGTTTGCTCAGTCCGGCTGAGGGGGACGTGATAAGTGGATTTGAATAGTAAACTAGTTGAAAAGATCAAGTCCGCAGACAATGCAATCACAGACGTGCAGTCAACAAGCAGTGCACACCACTCAATACACATTGTTTAACGGTGGAGTCAATGCAGGGCTCTAATTTATTATTCTAAAACCAACCTGCTGTGTTAGAGGAGCGGGTGTGTTTGCTGAGGCTCAGATTTAAAAATGTATTTATGTTGGAAGATTGCAGATGTAAAAAAAAAAAAAAAGAAAGGAGGGAAGCAATCAAAACAAAAATAAAGAAAAGCAATAATTTAAAAAAAAAATAGTCGCAGGGTTGTGCAAATGTTTATAGAGATAGAAAGTCATATGTTCCTATTTTATAAAAAGAAATTTAAAAAGAACAATCACACTTATAAAAGTAGCAGCACAAAACTAAATTCAGTCATTCCTTTTATTCCTGCTTCTACTGTTATTATAATTATTATCAGACATGAAGATTTGTTTTATAGCAAATTACACAAACTTAAAAAAAATATCTCTATAACTGCGTTATTACGCGAGTTTCCCCATTAAGCTGTTTTCTTTACTTAATTTAATAAATATCTGAGATAACTATCTGCACTTGTTCCTCTAAATTTTTTTCAATTTAAATGTAATGTTTAATAATGCTTTGTGCTTCTGTTATATCTCTCAAATTGTTCATTTTTAGTTACCATCAATAGAAAGGGTATAACACAAACTTAGATTATATTTTTAGGATTTGGATTTTGGACCACCGAGTCCAGCGTTTTAAAATGTGAATCTGTACCAGTTGTACTTGTTCGTCTGCATCGTTTCAGCATCAGCCTGTGATTAAAATGTCTAATAGATGTGAGATCAGAAGTGTAACCGCAGCTCATTTCTCTCTTCCAGGCGGTTCGGCACCAAGTGTGGCGGGTGTTCGCAGGGCATCTCTCCTAACGACCTGGTCCGGAGGGCCCGGAGCAAAGTGTTTCACCTCAACTGCTTCACCTGCATGATGTGCAATAAGCAGCTCTCCACCGGGGAGGAGCTCTACATCATAGACGAAAACAAATTCGTTTGCAAAGACGATTACCTAAACAACACCAGTGTAAAAGACACCAACCTCCTCTCAGGTACGGAGGCAGCCCTGCGACCGTGTGTGTGTGTGTGTCTGTGTGTGTGTGTACGTTTGTGTGCGTGCGTGGATAAATTGTGATGGATGTGGTGTGTTCAGCCCCGCGGTGGCTCCATCATTTCCATGATCAAGACTCAGTCGACACTCAGAGAAGAGAATTTTTTTTAAAAAAAAGACAAAAACTAAAAACTAAAAATTAAAAAAAAAACAAGAAAAAAACCCAACCCGGTGTCTACAGATGATTCCTTTCCAAAATGCGTAATATTTGCCTCTCGAGCCTCTTACAGCAGTTCAGATCATCTTCATTTGGCCTGTTATGTAAATGTGCTGAATAGCTTTGCAGCTTTGCTCCATAATCTGTCATGTAGAATTATTTTATTAAGCTTGTTTACATTTTTTTTCCTTAAGATGTAAGACTCTTAAATATGAGATCAGCTGTTTTTGTTTATAACATTTGTAAAAATGATCTAGCCAAACTTCTTTAAAGGGGTTGTGATTATTATATGACTCTCAGCGCATTAAACAGTACCACAGAAATTTGTTAAATGTGGGAGAAAAAAAAAAAGTCATTATACTGTTGCTGTTTGCATCCCTGACCTGGGGTCAGCCACCTTTAATTGGCCCACACCGCCGTGCTGACAGTCCACAGTGATAAACAGTTTTGGGGAGCAGGGCCACCAGTTTATCACTGCGATGATCAATGACTCTGGTTCTTCTAAAAATTCATCTGTCATTTCCGCAGTAACGGCATGCAGCGATCCGAGTTTATCACCGGACTCTCAAGACCAGCTACAGGACGACGTGGTCCTAAAGGACACGGAGATCGCCGCCCTGTCTGACAAGGAGACGGTGAACAACGAGAACGACGACCAGAACCTGGGCGGGAAGCGGCGCGGCCCCCGGACCACCATCAAGGCCAAGCAGCTGGAGACGCTGAAGGCCGCGTTCGCCGCCACCCCCAAACCCACCAGACACATCAGGGAGCAGCTGGCCCAGGAGACCGGCCTCAACATGAGGGTCATCCAGGTACGCTTAGAACCCACAAGATTTTCACCATCACTTCGTAAATTCACCACCAAAAAAAAAACCCCCAAAAACATACATCCAACAGTCCATCATTTGATCAAATGGGGTGTTTCTCCAACTGGGTCCCCCCTTAATAAAAACCACCGCTATAATTATATCATAGCTTCCTCCGTCCCCACTGACTTAAATATAGTTCCACAGTAAATCATCTCAGCTCCTCTGAATCTGTCTGAGATGGTCTGAAATATTATGGAAATAGAATTCAGGGGACACCCACAGGTTGAGGAGGTGGGCTCGCGCCTTTTCTGTTTTATAGGGTGTTACGCACCCATTAAAAGGTGTGATGTAACAGCTTATATTTTATGGAAAAATGTCCCTGCCAAGCTGCCAGACTGCCATGACCGTGCAGGCCTCATCCCATCAGAGAGGCTCCACCTCCCCCAGCATCACCCCTCCTCCCCCTTTCACATCCTTCACCCCTCTTTAGAGGAGGCCTCTTCCCTTCAAATTGCGCGGTCACATTGAATTCATTAAGCCAAAGATTGGCCGACGGACGAGGTTGATTTGGAAACGGGTAATTTATATGGGTATTTTTGATTCTTGGCGCGCTCGACGGGGCAAAGTCGCCAACTGGCGCCGGGCTGCTGGGAGCGCTGGGAGCGCTGGGAGTCCTGGCACAGCGCTGCCATCACGTTTTGCGACCACATTTAGCCATGCTGTGAGCATTTCCAGCCAAGTGGAAAGGCAGAAATCTGTTTCAAGGGTCTTCAGATTGTCTCCTCAGAACTCTGAATTACAGCAGGGCCGCGTCGAATTAAACAAGGAGCAGCAGTCAACTGATGACACAGTTTTATTATTATTATTACTACTATTATTAATATTAGAATAGTTTTTTTTTATATGGAGGACTATTTAATTTCTGTTGCGCACAAACATTAAAATAAAATTAAATACATTATAAATTCATGTGCCAAAACCTCCGAAAAAGTCGGCCTAAAAATGGAGCATTTATGTATTTTAATTCTGCTTGGATTTTCCTTTTTTTTTCCTTCTTTTTTTTTTCTTTTAAAGAAAAGCGTCATAATGTTTTTAAGGCTGCGGGCAGATCTCAGGTAAAACGCTATAGCAGATTAATGGCGATAAAGTGAAAGTGGTGAAGTAGAGGTATCTAATATGTATGAGCATGAGGGGGAGAAAAGGAAGAGCGTAATTAAAGGAAGCCGGCCTATAGATTAGGAAATGATAACCTCCAAGAGCCCGGTAATATATTGGTAACAACCCTCCTATTAAGTATTAATTGGAGATTTTAAGCCCCCGCTGCTGTAGCCTTCAGTCGGAGTAAATGGAGGGTTAAAAGATCATTAGGGAGGTTAGATGTGCTCCTCGCTCCTGTAACGATAATTGGGCGCAGTCCTCTCCGCCGCAGAGCATTGCGGATTTAGGGCACCGGCTCATCACGCACGCCGCAAAACACACAGAGAGCGCGCGGTTATTGACACTGCTAAGAAGCCAGTGCTGTGCAGGTGCCAAGGTAAATATGACACCTAATTACACTTTCTTTTGAATAGCGGGGATTTACACAGCGAGGTTTATTTGCATTTTGTCAAAAAAAAAAAAAAATCCCATTTTTGTTTGTTTAGATATTTATTAATGGTAAAGCAGCTCCCGGCTCCCGTCATCATCTCCATTTGTCCCTCTCCTCCCATCCGCCGCACACAGTATTGACGTGCAATCAAAATGGCGTCAGCAGCCTATTGCGTGTTTGCTGAGTGACACAAGGTGACCCATATATGTGTGTGTGTGTGTGTGTTTGTGTTCGTGTGTCTGTGCGCAGGTCTGGTTCCAGAACCGACGTTCCAAAGAGAGGCGCATGAAGCAGCTGAGCGCGCTGGGCGCCCGGAGACACGCGTTTTTCCGGAGCCCGCGGCGGATGAGAACGCTGGTGGACCGGCTGGAGCCCGGAGAACTCATCCCCAACGGGCCCTTCTCCTATTACGGAGGTATGCCTCTTATTTTGCTCTTTTATTTGAGAGTGTTTTTGTTTTCTTTTTTTCCAATCATCCAAATTGTTTAATCGTATAAATGATCTTTTTTTTTCTTCATTGTTGTTAAAATGACTTCAGGCGTGATTCTGGCATTCAACAATTTAGTCTTAACATTTCATGCTTCTAAAAATCCTATTTGCATGTTCTCCCATTTCTTGCCTACCTGCCATTTATATTGCACTTTTTTTTTTTTTACATTATTCTACTTGATCATATCTAGACCTCATCAGTGAGGCTGCTGGATAAGAAATAAAGCAGTTTGATGTATGTGGTTTTTACTCTTTAGTGGAATTACCACCTCAAATAAATACTGTCAATACTTTTCAGCAGTTTTCACAGAATAATGTATTTAAATTAGTGCATAAATGTAATATCTATATGAACAAATAGACACAATTCAGTGACTATCTGCCTTTGCTTGCTAGATATTCAACACTAAGGCCTTCATTTCAAAATACAACAAATGCATATATGATGTATTATTCATTTTGGGTCGCCTCATCCAGAGGTTTGTGGAAATCAGTGAGCAGAGAGTTCCCTTTAAGTGAAGTTAGTTTACACCTGAGCGATCTGATACCAACACTGCACTATTCCTTCAAATCTGGTAATTTTCAGAGAATTTCATTTGTGCTCAGGCCTTTGTCCTTTCTGCTGAAGCAAAAAGTCTAATAATATTCTGCTGAATTAAAAAAAAAGGGGGGAAAAAAAAAAAAGAAAGTCAGTCTCAGTAGGTAGAATCGCTGATGAAATGGCCCCCATTTTAATTAATTTTGTGGCCACGTTGTTCTCCCCACCCAATTGCAGTTTTGATTTAAGTGTAACGTGCTCTGTGACTAATGTAGCACGGCGAGGGTCTCTCTCTCTCCAATACAAATCAAGTTATGTATATTCAATGAATTCCTCAACGTCCCTGGAATTATTTCTGCACACCCATTGTTCTCAGTCAGAGCTAACGCTGATTTTTTTTTCTCTCCTTCTCTTGGATCTGCAGATTATCAAAGCGAGTACTACGGCCCGGGAGGAAACTATGACTTCTTCCCTCAGGGGCCTCCGTCATCGCAGGCCCAGACCCCCGTTGATCTGCCCTTCGTGCCCTCCTCAGGCCCCACAGGCACCCCCCTTGGAGGCATGGACCACCCCCTGCCAGGCCACCACCCCTCCAGTGAGGTGCAGCGTTTCTCTGATATCATGTCCCACCACCCGGGGGACTCTCCCAGCCCGGAGCCCGGCATCCCGGGGCCCCTGCACAGCATCTCCTCCGAGGTGTTCGGCCCTAGTCCACCCTTTACCTCACTGTCACTGAACGGCAGCGGATACAACAACCACCTGTCCCACCCGCCCTCGGAAATGAATGAGGGCACCGTTTGGTAGCTTCTTAAGAGAGTGGACTCTACTGGCCAGAGATTTGCTGACGGAGGGTGGTGAGCTTTGGTGTTGATGGGGGCTGGGGTCCAGAACAGGGACATGGATATTGACAGGGTTAGGGCAACGCCATTGAAGTTTTTTTTTTTTTTCTGTTTTTTTTGTTGGTGTTTTGATATTTATTTATTTTCCTATTTGATTTGTTGATCTTTTGTTTTTGTGGGGAAAGCGTATCCGGCATAAAAATTATGCTCAAAAACACTGTCTTCAGAATTGTGTTTGGGTGTTTCAATTGCTTCTCTGAACCCCTCCAACCCCTCATCCATCCTGCATCCAAAAACTGGACTTCCAAAAAAAAAAAAAGTTAATAAAAAATGAAAAACCTGGGTGAGACTGCTGAACTGAGCCCGATCCACCCCTCTTTCTTTGGGCCCATGGGGCACCCTGTCACCTCTCCTAATTCCTGTCAGTGGCCTGGCGTAGCGACCAAACCCCCAAACACTCACTGGTGAGGTAAAAGACAACCCTTTTCGAAATCTCCTATAGTATGTCCCGAACATGAAAACATCATTAGCTACTGTCAAAGACTTCAATAGCTTTACAGAGAGAGAATAAAGGGGCCGAGGGTTGGTTGTGTGCTGACCTGGCACTGTAGGAAGGCTGAGCGGCGTTCAGACCATGTCTGAGGCACTAGATGTGTCCCTTGTATTTATTCAGAAGCTCCTCAGACCTCTTTGCCTCTCAAGGCTCTGCCATATTGACACTTAACCTTTTTCACACTCTGTTTCTGAAGACCAGAGGAAATGACAGACCGCCTGGACTATTTGTTTGTTTTGGTTCCAGAATTTCCACCAAACCTGAAGGAGGCCGCCTTCAAAAGGCAAACCAGTCAAAACCCTCTACGGATTGCAAACCCTTTATTTAAAATGGAAGTGAACTTGAAATGTTGAAATGAAGTCTACCTTCTAAAAATCTTCTACTGGGGTTCTAAATGGGACTTAGAACAGTCAACTGTTTACGTAATCTATTTAATTCAGGAGTCCAGAAGTCTCGAAAACCATGTTTTAGAACCTCTCGATCCATATAAAAATGTTCCAAGCAACCAACCAAACTTTTGTATTGATTTCATTTATATTGTATGGAGATAAAAAACACATTTGCTGGGGTTGTGGTTCACTGTGCTAGTTTGTACAAGATGTTGTTTACAAAAAATTAAAAAAAAAAATAATAAAAACACAAGTAAAGTAGACATTTGCCAAATTAAAAAAAAAAAATAGCACAAATACTGTTAAAGTGCTTTGCACCATCATCGCAGAACGTGTTGAGACAAAATGTAAGTGTTAAAAGGAGTAATTGACTTCCTAATTTTTTTAGTCTGCTGACAATACATTCATAAAATTGTTAATATAACATACTTAGACAGGTTTTATTTTTGTGTCTTCAAAGAAGAAAAATCCAAACTATTAAAAATTGATGGTCAAATATGCAGCTAGTAGCTGCTACATCTCTTTGAATATCAAGCCCTCATGGTATGTCTTTTATTGTTCAAATAAACCTAAGCTTATGTGACCTCCAGTGCATATTAGACCATTCACTGTATAAATACAACATGTTGACAAAAATGTGTTTCTAATAAAACTAGAAAATATACATATGAATTTTAACATATTTTCTTTGAGCAGCTATCTTACAGTATATTCTGACATGACAGTGTATAATGAGTCAGTGCAGCTGTACATCACAGGGCTCTTTGTAAGGTACCTTTCAGGCCGTTGTCACTCATTTCATAATGAACGCTTTTTGTCTACACGACTAATTTTCCATTCACTTGGAGTGTGAAATAATTGGCCTTTGCAGACATGGTGACAGGTAAACATTTGTTAATTCTGATTAATGGGATTCAAAAACAATGAGTGAAATTGAAATGGCATTTGGCAGAAAGAAATGAAAAGACACGCTGAGGAAAGAATGAGTCAGAATGAGAACCTAAAGGTGTCGGGCCGCTACAGAGTATTGCTTAGCAGTGTGAGTTTTGTGGTGGTAATGTTAAACTGGAGTTTTCTCTTTTCCCTGCTACGGGCAGCATTGCACCAGATCCTAAACAATTCATAGACAAATAGAATAAGGGTTTGAACGACAAAAAACTTTTCTGCTGATTTTACTTTTTACCCAGCAATGGAGCATTTAGTGGACCGGCTTGCTGCAGCCAACACAAGGGGGAGCGAATTCACAACTTATGCTGATGCCATTTCTTCTCCCAACTGCTTTAGCTTCGGCCTCACATTCTTCCATTCAGTTACTTGAGGTCGTCGACTAACCATAAGCAGTTAGCTGTGCAACTGTGAAGGACAATGATGAAATTGCCGTGACCGCGGCTCTCCTGCTTGTTATGCTTTTATTAGCCCGCTCCTACATTATTATTCCCTGCAGCTTTCTTTTCTTGCAGTGAGTGCGGTCTGGTGGCTGGGAGGGACTTCTCCTAACTTATTTTGGTGAATATAGCCGCAATAATAATCAAGAAGCCCAAACACTGAGGCGTGATCTTTTGCAGGAAGGATGAAAAAATTATTCATACTTGTAGGGAAGCGAGTCGGGCGGTGGGATTGTGGCATGAATCCGGGGGAACCTTTATCTCCCTAACCCTGCGTGTGCAGTTAGGACCGTATGCAATCCCAGTTTTCTCCCCTGCCTCCAGACTGTAATCCACCATGAATTAATCATGGTCTTGAGAGTTAACCAAGCTTGGGGAGGTGGAGTGGAAGGTGGGGGTGGAGGGTGTGTGGAAGGATATAGGCCTCTGTTGAGCCCCTGGGCTTAGCCCCCCCCTGTGGTAACACCATGCACCGGCGACTGACCGCCCCCGGGGCCACGGCTCTTTAAATTCAAATCTCCTATTGATCGCTCATCAGCTGTTGGTGCAAACTGACCTTGTAGGCTAAAGTTGGAAAAATAAAACAAGCCTTAACAGCACTGAATGGGTTTTAAATGACATTTTAAATCTCTGAGTCAGGACGTTTGAATAGCCCACACACCCACTGTGAGCCAAAATAAGTGTACTGTATGTGCATGTATGTGATGAGACGGGGTGACAGGGGGATAAATGCTTATAAGAAGGAGGGGCCGGGGTGGGAGGGTGTGTGGGGGGGTTGCGAGGGTGTACAAAATGGTTTACTTTATGGTACAACAGGGGCCAAAATATTGAGCCAATAGGAAGATCAGGCCCAGCAGGCGAACACTGAGATTCTTGCGTTCAAACTGAGAAGGGTTTTTTTTTAGAGCCCCTCTCCATATGAGAAGCATTTGGCTGCTAGTTTTAAATGCAGAGTGGCTCAGCTGGAAGTGTACCCTCTCCTCGGAGCGAACGTAGCGTAAGCACACAAACACATGGCACCGGGCCTCGTTTCTCCTCAAACAAACGACACATGTTGGGGGAAGCCAATTTCTTGGCCAGGAATGAGAAGACGCTGTTAATCAATGGAGCGGGTTGGTTGATCGCTGAGCCACATTTCCCTGGCTCAATACTCAGCGAGTGGGTGATACACAGTCATGTAGCAGCCTGATAAGCTGACCTCTGCTGACAAGCTGTTTGTTTTGCCACCTCGCTGCTCTTTACACGTCCTCCTCCTCTCAAAGACAAAAGAAAGAAGGAGATGTTAAACTTACACAAGCATTTAACTAATGCTGGGTAGCATTTTCCCACAAATAATGCATGATTTCACCTTACAGAGGTATAGTTCAGGAGGGATTAAACCTATACCCAGACCCTGCTTTTCCGAGTTGCTCTTTTCAAGAAAAAATGATCAGATTAACTATAGCTGAACAGACAAAGACAAGAGCGCCACCTAGAGAAGGTAAAGAGTTCCAGTTTTGCTGCTTTCATACACATGACTGACCAGGAAAAAATAAGATCACCTGGTTCTCTGGCTTTGGGAAGATGTTTTTTTCTGTAGAGTTGGAAAAGAATGTTTTATTGCACCAATGGCCATGATGAAAATACTGAGATCATGAGACCAAGTTTTCCCCATGCATGCTTCCTCTGCTACCCACAAAGAAGATGATCAGACAACAAAGTGATTGTCCTTATTTAAATTTGCCCTGTTTGACTATTCACTAATTGTTACATTAATCGTTACCGCCTTCTGGTGGGGAAACACTGAATCCTTTATAATTGGCCTGAATGTAGTCACATTTCTACACTCTAATTATAAAAATAATGGACTCAGTTTATAAAACAAACAAACACTTTATAAACTGATTTAAGTCCACAAATAACCCAAACATGTGACCCAAGAGGTGACCACATAGTCCTATATAGAGCTATCCTGCTTTTAGGTAGATTAATAAGTAGCATTTATTCATCCTCTCCAATCTAAAATACAGAAGCCGGCCAAAAGCAGTGTCAGCAGTGAAGAGCTGGAAGCAATCAGTGAGAACCCTCAACTAAACAAAGGTCATAATAAAGGCCAGCATCATCTCTAACAGTGTGTTTCTAATAAAATGTCAGCATGCTGCATCGCTGTGCGTCACCATCATTACGAATATGAGTGATTTATCTCAAAGTGAAGCTACCTAACCTACAGCCGGACTTCTACAAGAAGAAAGTTAAACATCTACCTCCAACATGAAGATAAATGGCAGACAGTACAATGAATGGACAGCACATGTATACAATATATCACTAATTTAAAGACATCCAAACATCATATCTACCCAAATATATGCAACTACACCACCAAAAATCTGAGATGTCATCTAACTGACAAATAATTGACAAGTCACTTACTGTAACCCTGATCTTGACCTGGAACTCGTCAAGGTTGACCCGTGCCCCGGATCGTGTCACTCACAATCTCCAGCCAACATTCTCCAGTGTTGGGCCAGGAGTTCAGAGCGAAAGGCCTGATAAGAGTGTGCTGCTTTCCTGTCACTGTATCTCAGTTGCTCGGACAGTTTAGCACAGTTTTAGTTGCATTAAAGTGGTGTACTATGGATTGTAGTTGTAGCTCAAC